ATACTAAATAAATTAGTTATAATCTATACTTGGTCGGGATAACAACATTTATCGTGAGTAGAGTGTATTTTGATTTTTAAAATGGAAACAAATTAGGAAAATTTAAAGCATATACAAAATAAACAAACAAAGTAAGCAAACATGTAATTTTAAGTTGAGGGATAATAATTATTAAAATTTATAAATTTAATAGATTACAAAAAATATTTTTTTTTAAAGTGAAAAAATGTGTAAGTTCGCCTTTAAAATAATGTTACGAATTTCGCTGAAGAAGTAACCAAAACCAATGAACAATTTCCTTTGGAACATCAATTCGGAATACTGTTCGTTATTATAGTTATTTTTTTTCTGAATATTCCATAAAAATTGTACAGATCATAATTTTATATACACTTCTACAATTTTCACCTTGAAGTTAAGAATCATTCGGATTACCCACTGACACGTGACTGTCTACCTGATTAGATTAGGACCTTCATCACTGAAATAATATAATAAAAAATATCACTTGTTTAAATCTGATATTAAAAAATAAAAAAAAAAAAAAACAACAAAATATATAATTATCACAATGCACTTGTTTTCTGCGTTGTTCATTCTATAAATATATAAAATTTTTACTTCCTTTTTATTTTAATTTCAATAGATTAAATTCCATTTATGTATTTGTTGCTGTTGTGGTTTCTGCGTATATTACACATGTGGTATTTTAATATTTTTTATTTTATTTTTTTGTTGGCCTTTCCAATTTTCTCTGCTCTCTGATCGATTTTTGTTTTCATCTCGGCTTCGATTTATTGTTTCTTATGAGACACATATTCATCATACACACATAACCCCACACACACACTCAATGCATTCACATTTTCAATAAAAATTAAAAAAAAAAAACAATAGCAAAATATTTAAAACACAACAAAGATGTAAAAAAAAACAAAACCAACAACAAGTATTCATATTTTCAATTCGTTCACAAAATGACCCAGACCTTTTTGTCAGTCTTAACCGAGATAATTCGAAATTGAATGCAACAGAAAAAAAAAAATAAAATTGCAACAAATTTACATAACTCTTGTTGAGAGAGAGAGGGAGAGTATAAGTGAGAATGTATGTGTGCCGGCATTTGTTTGCCTTTTGTTTTACAGTGGTTTGCATTTATGTATCGTATTGTATAGACTCGTCAATTGAAGACCCGAGATTCATGTACAATGTATCGTGGCAGTCATAGTTATTATTTTGTTTTGTTTGTATTGCGAATATGTAGGTGTTTGTGGCTCTGTGAGTTTTCTGTATTGTTTTATAAGCCACAATGAATTCAAAGGCAAAATTGATAAGTCGTCCAAGAGCCAAAAAGAGATAAAGAAAAAGGATTTCCCCCGAAAAAATGGTTTATTTCTTTAAGATTTAAAATTCATAAATTTCCATGAATAATTTTGAAAATTTAAAATATATTTCTGTAATGAGTTTGCTTTGAATAATGAGAAAATGGAATTTGAAATTAGATACACCCCGGATGAAAAATTGGACTTGGAACTTCAACATACCGAAAATTAAATGAAACCTCTATGGACTATGTAAAAACGTGGATTTAGATTGAAATTGATGGTTTAGTTTTTTAATTCGACAGGAAAACCTTTGATATCGAGCGTTTAGCGGGACCTTTATATAAGGGTAATATTTAATAAATTTAAATATGTGCGCCAAAAAGGTTTTAGCCATAAATAAATCGGAACGGCGAATTACAGCGGCTCCGGTTGTAAAATGTGGTTAAAATGTAAAAAAAATAACGAGAGAGGAAGCTTTATATGTTAGGTGTGTCAAAGCCCCACATTAATGATTTTTAACCGGAATCCAATTATCACTAGATGCGATTTTTCATTCTCGCAATATTGTACAAAAATGTTTCTCATACTATTTTAGGTGGGTTCCTCAAGCACGAGAAATAGACATTTTAACGGTTCTCAAATTTACCCGTTTTTTGTCACTAAATTCCTATATGTAGGTATTTCAATAAATTCTGTGAAAATTCATTATTATGTGAAATTATCTGATTCGTCCGAATTATTTTTTAAAATGAGAAAAATAAATTTCAAGGAAAAGAAACGGTTTTCAAAAATTTTAAACCGGATATTTAGATAATAAAACCGGTTTCAATACTATATATGTATATAATTAGAAAGATAGTAAATAAACGTTTATTGAATCAGACTATTATCGGTTTTATTATCAGAATATCCGGTTCAATAATCTAGAAACCCGGCCCTTTTTTCATCGAAATTATTTTTTTTTTCGACGTATTTGGCATAACTAGTCCCCCTATCGTTCGTCCATTCGGTCTTTTTATCTGCTTCAAATTTTTGAAACCGGTTCAGTTTTCTTCGAAATTTATTTTTTGACGTTTTTGTCCGTACGTCATTTTAAATAACATTAGAGCTCGGACTATTATCGGTTTCATTACCTGAATATCCGTTCCAAACATTTTTGAAACCAGGTTCTTGTTTCCTCGAAATTTATATATTTTTTACGTATTTGACATAACAAGTCCGCCTGTGTGTCCGTCGTTTGAAATCACGATAGAGCTCGACTTATTTAAGTAAAGGTATAGCCACGTTTTATAATAGTCTATTAAATTATCTGTATTTTGGGGATTTTGGGAACTTAAACTTACTTTTGAGGTCCACGTTTTAGTATAGCCTGTTTAATTATCTGTATTTTGGGTGTTTGGGAACTTAAGTTTACTTTTGAGTCCTATTTTGAATTCTCATGGGGTAAAAATGTCCTTAATTGACCCAGATTTTGGGTTGAGGTGGGCCTCATATTCCGCATATTTTTGAATCGGATATTCAGATAATAAAAATCAGATAAATATCTTATATGCATTTCAGTAGAAAGTAAGGAAACAAACGTTCTAAATTTATTGAACCGGACTAATATCGGGTTTCTTATATGAATATCCGGTTCAAAATTTTTCAAAACCAGTTCCGAAATCAAATAGATTGAAATCACAAATATATCTGTCCAGGTTTTCATATTATCGGTTTTTTTGCCTCGTAATTGATTTTTTTGACGTATTTTGCATAACAAGTCCGCCCGTCTGTCCGTCGTTGGAAATCACGAAAGAGCTCCCCATATATAAGTAAAGGGGGGATATATCGGGAGATATTATCTTCGCACCAAACATTATGGAGAAGAATATAAAAAAGTTCAGCCCGACCGGAATTTAATGACTTATTCTTGTTCAAATTAAGACTTTGAATTTTGGGATCTCGGCTCTTCAAAATATAAATGATCTCGTGGTAAAAATTTGACTACGTATATCCATACTTTGCCATTGCCTTTTTTTCAATTTCTGCCAAATTGGCGGTTCTGTGGCCGTGACATTTTCAGTTCTCAGAGGTATCAAACCATACTTTCAGAAATTTTTCAATGTAGGTCCTTTGAGAACTGAAAATGTCGACTATAAAACAGCCACTTTGGCAGGAAACCATTACCAGTAAACATGTCCAGAAAATAATTTTTTAACTTATAACTTCGTATACTTTATGTAAAACAAATTACGATCTTCAAAATTATTAAACAAATTATCTTTCTTTATATTTCATTTTTGTGGTAAATAATTTTTATTTGAACTGTCAGACATTAATGTCTTAAATTCGTAGAATTCCTTTTTAATTCAAAAATTTGAAAATAAATATTTTTTAATAAAATCAACCACGTACAATATCCGTCTTATTTTCTGTAATAGTTTTTCATCATGACAATCACACAAACAAACATTTCCATATAAATATTATTTCAATTATTGTGGTATTTTGGAAACCACAAACACATCAGCCGCAGAAACAACAACGCATACTAACATGCACACACACACACATTTTTTACTTTACACAGGGTGAAGTAAAAAATGGAGATTGGTTTGGAATTATAAACTTAAAATGTATATAAAAAATATTACTTCTATAGGAAAAAATTATTAAAAAGGTCCCTGGGTTACATTCTTGAGTTCAAAGTCATATCTAAATTGTCATCATATGCGATTAATACCACTTAACAATATTTTTGAAACAAATTAAAACTTAACTTTTAAACATCTCAATAAAAGAATATATGGACTTAAACCTCTTTCAAAATAAACGGCTTATATTTTCAGGATTAAGAAAAACCTTGTCAACTGGATGATTATTATGAAGGGCAATATTGAATATTGAACAAAAAATTGTCGAAATTTATGATTTTAAACTCCTGAAAATTAGACTACGGCCCTGCATGCTCTGCAAATATTCCATTAAAATTTTTTCACCAACCTCACAAAAATCAAAAAAATTTTCATATTTCCATTTTTCATTTGAATTTTTTTGCAGATTATCTTCGTTTTATTTAAGGCGTATCATCAAAAAAGGAAAATTCCAAAACACCCAGCCAAGGAGATAATCTTCATGCTCTAGTACAACCACCAAAAAAGAAAAAGAAGGCCGACATCAGCAGGGAGGGCCATTTAGCCGCAATTAATGCCAAATCAAATTTACTGTGAAAACATTCGGCTACTGTTGTTGTTGCTGCACAATTTGAGTTTTTAATTAAAACTCATGTGGATCTCACAAAGTTAAACAAATATTTGTTTTGAAATTCTTTTTTGCACAAAAATTGTAAGACGACACACTGACAAACACATTTACATGCGCCAGGGAGGCATTTCAATTTTAAAAGAAACCATAAAGAAGAGTAGCCAGAAACCGGGTTCAAAACAGAAGAAGAACATTCATAACCATTCATCCATCCTTCCCAAACACAAACTGAGATAGAGAGGCAGAAACCAATTTCGGCTGAACATGTTCGCCAGCAAATGATTTGAAAATATTGTTATATCCTCAGATCTCGTAGAACGTTCACACAGACGGCAAAACGGCCACTAACCAACCAACCATCCGAATCTTTGATAATTGAACGATATAGTCTAGCAAAGAGACGGAGTAGTTGTTGCTGCTGTTTGCAATACCATGGAAAAATTAAAAACGCATAAATATCATCTACGGAGAGCCTCCACACGAGCTGCGCACACACAACGACGCCTCATACGCCACATTAACCTAAAGAATTATGCAGCGTTCATAATTGCAACGATATTTGTTGTCATTACGGCCTGTGTGAAAAGTGCACACCTAAATGTCAATACACTGACATTGCAAACGGCAGCGGGGGGAGTCGGAGCTGCTGTGGCACCAAGCCTGCCGGCAGCCATACGAGAAGAGGACACAGCCACACATTCAACGGCAACATCACTACCACCACCACTACCACCTGCGTTAGCTTCAAATTCCTCTTCGTCGTCGTCATCATTGTCCTTGTCAGAATTAGAGCAAATACCATTAACAATCCTGGAATTACAGGAATCGCCTAGGCAACAGCAGGAACAACAACAACAGCAGCAGCCTGCCTACCAAAGTCAGCCACAGCATTTGCCATTGGTTGACACTGCAACAGCCACACGAAATGCCTTAAATACTGCCGCCATAGAAGATGATGCCAACACGTTACTGCTCACACCTAACGAAGATAAAACACTAGACGAGGAGGAAGAGGAACAGCTGCGGGCGGAGGATGAGGAATACTTTTCATTACAAAATATTCAAAGTTCCGCAAGGGAACGTCAGCAACAACCACAAGAACACCAAAGTCGTCCGCATTCCGGTCATCAGTATCGCCACCAACACCATCAGAAGCTGCATCATCGTCATCATTCTCAACAGCACCATGAAGAGCAACAACAACAACAAGAGCAATTCAAGTATCATAATGAAAGCCCCGAACATAAACATAACCTACATCGCAATCATCAGCATCAACAGCAACACCACCACCAGCATCATCATTATCAGTCTCAACAGGAACTCGAGCAAACACAACGACAGCAACAACAACAAAGGACACTCTCTGAAGAAGGTGTTGTTGACCATAATAATAATCAGCCATTGGCACAGGATGAAATTTCCATCATTACCGAACACCATCAACCCCACCATTACCACCATCATCAGCAGCAACATCAGACCTGGCAAAATAATGGTGGCAATGGCAAAAATTCTAATCAAGCGCTCTTGAACGGCCACTCGCACCGCAGCCGCTTTACCATTGAGGATTTGTTGCACACCAAATTCGAAAAGAAGATATCGAATGACATCTACATGGATCCATGCAAAGCGGGTAAGTACGACACGACGACAGTCCAACACACACAAATTGCATTTTTGAAATTCCCTCAGTAATTTTAGATAATAATGAACAATGAAAGTGGCCACGGGCACACAAACACACACACTCATATGTGGTGTGCTGCACTGTGGGGATGGGGTTTGGGTTTGAGTATAACTTCTTATATAGAAATTCTGATTAATCGATTCATAAAAACAACCGTTGAAGTTTCTTTTGGAAAATAATAATAATCTGCTACAGAAAAAAGTACTCCTGGTTTCACTAGTAGGTGTACTACTAGGCCATATAATGCCATATGTTTCCTCCGATTGCTAATTATGTTATACCCTCTAGGTTGCCTGTTTTGGTATGACCTTATACGATGGTTCCGCAAAATAACATTTCCCCACTTATGGGGATATATTTTGGCAATCTGGGTTCTGGAAGAATCAAAAATATTTTTCGACTTCAATATGGCACAATTTTTGACATATTCCCCATACGAAGGTCTCGCTCAATTTTTGCTATTTTAAAGGTTCATTCAACTTTCAATATTTTTAGTTTGGGCCAATTTTTTACAAAGATGTAAACTACCGACCTATCTTAGTATTATTAAGATTCACGTCATGGTTGAGAGTGTCAATGTTTGAGTTTTTAAGTACCACAATGATTCTTTTGATGTATGGCACCTGACATATACAGGGATACAGGGATCCTTTTACAGGCTCATTAGTAGCCTGTTTTAACTACACAAAACATATTTCTTTGCTTAGTGACCCGATGGTGGAAGGATGGTTTTAGAAGTACTCATGTGTGGCTGATAACATATAACAGCGTGATGAGCACTCCACTAGTTTTTATAGACTTCAACTGACCAGATTTTTAGTGGATACTAGATTTAGGGTGCTACAGAAAAGTATCTAATGGGTTAATTTTGAATGTATCCAAGGGTGGTGTCGGTAACATGACGTTCCTATAACGAGTTAATTTTTAAGGCACCCCAAAGTTACGTACATCAGAAAGGGGCCTTAACGGACCCAAAATACTCTAAGTTTACGAAACCTACAAAAAATTTCTAACTACACTGAGTTCCAAATGAGCAAATTTTCAACGGATAGAATAACTACGGATATAAAAAATGGTTTCCTAATGGGTTAATTTCCAAAAATTAACTTAGCCAAGAGTTAGGGACACCGTAAGGGTACCCAAAATTCTACGAGCAATATAATGGATTCCTAGTGGATTTATTTTTTAATAATTTCAAAATTAGCGGAACTCTTAACGGGTTAATTTTTTAACGTCTCATGTGACCTTCTCATGTTCTGATAGAAGTCGAACGACTTAGCAGATCTTTGATATTCATGTATGTAGTTTAAAGATCTACTGAAGATTTTTTTCCGAAGACAATATACCTTCTCGAGGATGAAAGACTTTATTGGTCTTTTGGACATATTCAACCTTCTATAGATCTAAAATGGATTACTTTTCAAATGGTCCCATAAAGTATAAACACTACAAGAGTTTCCTAAGGGTCACTAGGCCTTCTCATAACGCCTTATGTGTCTTCTATATACCTTCGAAAGATATTCTATATACAAGATATCCTGTAGATCTTTCAAAACCATTAAATATTCTATATGTCTTCTAGAGACGGGATACCTTCTGTGGATTTTTTGGAGACCTACGAAAGACCAAATCTTGAAGGTCTTTCGAAGACAATAGACCTGATCGAGGATGATAGGTCTTCTATAGATCTAGAAGGGATTAATATTCAAATGGTCTCAAACAAGGGTTTCCTACCGGTTATTTTTCATTTGTATGTCTTCGAAATTGTAAATTTTCTAAAATAAAACTTATCGAGGATGGAAAACCTTCAATCTGTGTTTTATATATTGAAGATCTTCTACACTTCTACTTTTTACAGAATATTTGTATACCCTCAGCCTTATGCCTAGTGATGGTATATACACTTTGATACGACAAAAATGTGCCTAATCGAAATATTGGTTTTCGAAATATTGGTTTTAGTCGATTTACAATTGTCTGTCCGTCCGTCTGGTGCGCACGATAACGCTCGAAAAGAGTAAAGGATTTCATTCACTTTGTACATCGTAATATTTCTTCAAAACTTAGTTTCAGTTCAAAGATGGGGAATATTGGTCCACTCCTTCTGGTACCTTCCCCACATAATGGTGAAAATTGAAACGGACTATCCGATTTGAACCAAACTTTTCATAGCTTATTATCTTTACCAAGCCTAGATCAAGTCCGAAGATAAAAACCGAATATGATAAAGAAGCGTGGATTTTTAAAGACTATCAGGTCAAGAAGCGTGAAGTTTTTAAGACTATCAGGCCAAGAAGCGTGGAGTTTTTAAGACTATCAGGCCAAGAAGCGTGGAGTTTTTAAGACTATCAGGCCAAGAAGCGTGGAGTTTTTTAGACTATATTGTCAAGGACCAAGAAGTGGGGATTTATAAAGAATATTTTCTAAAGGGCCTATCAGACAAAGAATCGTGAATTTTTAAAGAGTATTTTCTCAAGGACCAGACAATGAAGAATTTAAAGTATAATCACAACAATAAGATTTTTAAAGATTATTTTTCTAAGGAATTTCAATGAAAAATGCCTGGATTAAAAAAAAAATGTTTTTGTTATTCTGCCTTCTGTGACCCTTCATACATATAAAACATCATACAGATCATTTGAAAATTGAATACTTATTAAAGGACTTCTATAACTATAACTTTTTCATTAAGTCGTCTGTAGATATCTTCTATGGATCTTCTACATTGTTCTTTTAATATTTGTGCGGGACTTCATACATATACAAACTTCTAAGGCCTATAGATTGGTTCTTTTGTACACAGAAGAACGTCTAATGTTGTAGTTTTATTGAATTCTTTTTTTGGTTCTACTGTCATAGAATACCTTCTTTGAGCCTTTTATACGTGACAGATTAGGGACTTTTAGGCGTTGAAGACTTTATATTAATATTTTGTAAATAGATGGTCTCCTTCAGAAGACTCTCTCCGTAAGGTTTCTTTCTTCTAAACAGAATATCTACTTTGGTATTCATTAGAAAAAATGTCTTCGACAGATTTTCTCTAAATGTGTAAGATCTCCGTTTTTGTCTCGCATGTCATGTACCATGTCTTGTAATGCTAAATTAAGGTCCTTACAAGTCCTTCACAGAACATATTTTCTTCATATTAATTATAATTACAGATAAGTGTATAAGAAATGAGAAAAAATAACAATAACACCAACAACAACATTATTATTATTATTTATGAGTCAAACATAGAAGTAAATGACTTTTTGAATACGAGATAAACAAATTTCGGCAGACCAACAACAAGGCAATATTTTCCATATCAACAAATGTGAGTGCAGTTTACGGGTGGACCACAAAAATAGTCTTTGTGGCTAGGATTGTCTGCCTGCAAAAAATCTAAATGGTAATTAAAATTCATGGGTCCCTAGAAAATACATGGACACAGCCAGACAAACAAACATTCATACACACACAAAATTATGAACAATCGAAAAACATGTCCTGTGTGCCAACACAAAACAATCCCCATTGAAGTATTGCCATGACAATCTTTTAATTCTGATAACTTAAAATGTGGTCATATTGTTAATGATTTTCTTGTTGTTGTAGTTGCTCCTTTTTGTTTATTTTGGCCATGGAACAGATTGGATTTAATGTTGAACAAAAAATATATTTAGGTCATTTTTAATAGATGAAATAAAATGTAATAAGGATGGATGGTGGCTGGGGTGAGTGAGGGTATTAGAATTTTGTAAGAATTGGGGGCTAACAACAAGTGTTTCACTTAACATTAAAGAGAGCAATACGAAGTAATGAGCTTAGAAAGGGTTGGAGGAAGGCAACCACAAAATCTCTACGACAATAGCAAAACAAATTTACTTTTAGGAAAGAATTGAGAAGGAGGACAATAACAATGCCTGACTGCTGCCTGGCCTGTCGAACTTCCTACCCAGCCAATTCCTTTGTGTATTTCGTTACAGCCATTCGTAGCCCTGTGTAGCTTTTTGGCATAAGGACAATTACGATGTTTTTCTTTTCCTACTACGATTTTGTTAATTAATATTTATCATTTTGGAACAATCAAATTCAAAAGTGCAGATAAGAAGTATATGATGATGGATAGGGAGAGTGGGCGGTTGGGGTAGTGAAATTATGTAGCTCTTCGACATTTGTGTATTTGGTTAGCAAATGAAATACAATTACCCGGAATATTTGAATGCAAAACTCTTTTGCACAAAGGCAAATAGCTTGGGCGAAGAGAATGAATAGAAGATGACTGACTGGATGGATGACTAAATGAATGAGTGAGTGAATGAATGCTTGAATGACAGTCAGCTTGTATTACTGACTGACTAACCAACTGACACACACTCACACAAAAATTTATTATAATTATTACATAACTTTTGCATAAACTATGCCCAGAGAGTTGGATAATCAAATATGTATTAACGGAAGTGACGAACGAATAGAATATTCGTACTAGTCGGAGTCGCAGTCACAGTCGTCGTTCTCGTCATTGTCGACGTTATGATCATAACGGCCGGAAATAATGTTTGCAGTGAACCAATGCTTCCGCTCAGTCAAGAGTCTGACATTTTTCAAAAAACATGAAAGAACAACTTTTCATAAACTTTTGTGTTTTGCAACAATTACACATTGAAACGTTTAAATTGGAGTTTAAGAAAGCGAAAGAAAAACTTTTTTTACTCCCGTCAAGTTTATCAGATGCTGTTGGTGAAAATAAGATGAAACGGAGAAGAGTTGGGGGCTGTGGTGGAAAAGCTTTCTGTGGATAATGGTTGTGATGTTTTCTTTTGTTAACAAAACAAAAAAAAAAAGAAAAAACTCTTTTGTGCGAAATATTTTCAAAATGCAAAATATATTTTAACAATTATGAAGAATACAACATAAAATGTGAAAGATCATATAGACGTTTGGAGGAGACTAGGGAG